CCTACACGACGCTCTTCCGATCTCCCCAAAACCCCAAAACCCCAAAACCCCATGAAGTTCAATTTATTTTAACAGTTAGAATAATAATATAGATTAAAACTGACAATTATAACTCAATTCATTACTTTTTCTTTCTCATGAGTTGAGCTAGAGTCGGTTAAGGGCTGATATCATTATAAGAACGTTTCGGATCTCTTGGAAGAGGAGGAACTACTGCTCCCATATTTTAAAAACTTTATTAATCATGGCCCATTGCACTCATTAACTAATTGGTCGATCTCATATTTTCATTTGGATGTTTATTACTCTGTTTTTTCAAAGTAAACCATTATGAATTTGTTGAAGATTACCCTGTAGAGCTGTTTTTACTCATTTAAGTGATTCGGAACTAAGTCTCATGATCACTCAAATCAGATTGATGATGCTGGAAGTGATGCTGCTGCATTTTAATCATAGGTGTAGATTATACTTTCTGGATATGTTTACCACTGGATTCACCTCGCTAGTGAAGCATATAAATCTGATGATCATATTCATCTTACTCAGAATCATCTTAGTGAGCAATCTTTTTTACCTTTCTTTGCTATTAGAACACAGGACGTGCTGGCTCATTATTTCCTACATAATGCAGATTCTTAGTCATATCTATGTTTTGCTTCTCCAAAGTTTTTACTCTTTTTTCAAGAATTCTGTTATGCTCTCTTAAATCAATGAGTTCTTGATACACCTAGTCGATAGTGCTAGTTTTCCCTTTTTACCCACCATGATAGTCATAAGTACTTTTTTCCATTGTATTGATAACCTTTGCACTCACCAGATTTTCAAACTCTTGTCTGTTCGATCTGATAATGTTTTCCATAATCTCAATTTTTTCTCTCAGGTTAAGATTTTCCTAAGTGATAGTATAAATTTCATTATCCTTAGTCTCAGTTCCTTTTACTAATTTATCAATTTCATCTCTCAAGTATTAATTAGCTTGCAGCAACTCAGTAACTTTAGAGACACTCTGGACTAACCTCTCATTTTCATTTTCAACTTATTCTTTATAATTAAGGACTGGAGATTTCGAATGAGAATTAGATCTTTCATTGGTTCCTCCTGCCTTCCCAGGAACAATTAAGGATTCTAATTAAATACTTTAATTTTTCTAAGATATTCCACTTGGAGATACATCGGTTGTTTTGGATAAAGGATGAATCTTGGAATAATTGGAGGCTTGATTTGGAGTTCCTCCTAAGAAATTTTGTACAAATTCCATTTCCTCATTCGGATCCTTGCTGTCATTCATCTTTAAAGACTATTGCTTATTTTTTTGAGGAAGCACTTTGTTTTTTATTTGGAGATCAGGCTGTTATCTCTCTGATTTTCCAGTTTATATATCTCTATTTCCAGCAATAGAAGCTCCAAAGCCGTTGTATTAAGTCAGATTCTCTGCTGCCTTTCGAGGATCAAATGGCTCAAGCTAGTTAAGTAATTAAAAATAATGAAAATCTTACCCTAATTTTATTGCCATCTCCTAAATCCACGAAATCCTCCTCAACTTTCATCAACTGCAAACCAAATGCTCGAGGCTACTCTCCAGTTAAATTCGTCAAGTATGCTATGTGCTCGTTCGCATTTTTTAGCTCGATTTGAAGCATTCTTACTTTATGCTAAAAAGGATAAATTAAGGTTAAATTGTGTTTTACCTTGAGCTCATTGATAATTCTAATTTTAGGATCGATATTTTTAACAGGTTAATTGGATATGTTAGCTGCTCTTTAGGCGTAGTTTAGAGTTGATACACTTTCCTCAAAGTATCTGTCAGAGGGAGAAATACAAGCTATCATAAGGCAATAAGAGTTTCCTCCTAAAGATTACTTAAGCAAACTAGTAAGTTTTGAATCTCTATAAGGAACGTGGTGAGTTTCATCACATTCTCTACCTTAAGAACTTAATTCACTCAATCTATTAATAACTTTTCTCAATGTGAATAATGACTAATTGATAGTAATAGATTCCTTTTAGGTCTATCCTGTGGTACCTGTAGCTGAAATTTTTTCAGAACCAGCTAAATCAACTAATTACAATTTACTCGTTACAACATTATCTAAATTCGAAGGATCTACAGTTTCGACTGTTATAGTAAAAATAGCATGAGATCTTGAAGATGCGTGATTGAGATTATGAGATGCTACAATCTTGTTTCTAATTCCAGCATGGAATAATTAAAGTACGTCTGTAGTACTTTAGCATTCATAGACGAATAAATTTTCTACAACGAATTGTTCTTTCTTAGTCCATCTGATTCTGAGACCTTGCTAATTAATGTTATTAGAATTCTTTTTGCTGCTACTTTGCAAACTGGTCTCATTCAGCAAATCGTAGACTCGCTCATTATATATCTGCAGGAAAGAACAAAAGATGTTGATGTGTTTACCCTCATCTTCCTTCACTCTTTTAACCTCCTTGAATAAATCATTAACAGCCCTCTAAGTAAGGCCCATTTTCTCAATATCTTGGCTGATAACAGGTGCTTTTGTTGTCCTATTGCCTTCAACATCTTGCTGTGCATTTTTATAATCGTAACCCTCCATAGTATATGTTTTTCCTGATCCAGTCTAGCCATAGGCAAATATCGTAGCATGATAACCCTTAAAACATTATTAGTATTTGTCTTACCTCAACCACCTTATTGACCATTTGTTGAATATTGAGTCCTTTATAAACATCAGACTGCTTAGTATTCATACTGAAGACTTAATCAAACTTATATCCTCTGCTCTTCTCTTCTCCTTTGACACTAATCATATGATTAACTTAAAACAAGAATACTTGATGTAATTTCTATCAATTTAGAAGCGACTGGCTTCATGGCCTGCATTTATTTCATGTTCTTGAAGTGGCCTCACACGAATGGCTACCTTAATCTTGGTCTAGTCTTATGAACTTGACATTTTAGAAATTATATTTATGATAATTAATTTTATCAAGCAATGAATGACTTCCTCAAACTAGTTCGAAGTTGATTTAGCCTAGCTCAAAGTACGGGGTTTTGGGGTTTTGGGGTTTTGGGG